CCTCTGCCAATCCCTCCACTGACTTCCAATCGCCCAAAAGATAAATTTCAAAATATTACCAACCGCTTACAAAGCCATCCACAACTCTGGCCCCTGGCTATGTCTCCAAACCCATCTAAAGTATCACCCTAACCGTCCCCTCCACTCCTCCCAAGACCTCCTGCTCTCTATCTCCCTCATCAACTCCTCCCAGGACTTCTCTAAAGTCTCTCATTTGGAACTCCCTACTCCAACCTGTCCATCTGTCTCCTACACTGTCTAGCTTTAGGCGATCCCTAAAGACTCATCTTTTCAGGGAAGCCTATCCCGCCTCCACTGGACCACTGAACTATCACTTTCTCAAACAATTCATCCCCACATAGCTACCTCCTCATGTATCACTTGCCCCTCCCTTTTAGATTGTAAGCTCTCATGAGCAGAGCCCTCTTAACCATCTTGTCTTGATTTGTATTGTAAGTGTAATGTCCTCCTTATATTGTAGAGTGCTGCGCAAATTGCTGGCACTATATAAATCCTGTCTTCCTGTGGTATGATTAGGGAGTTGAAACTGAATCCATTTCTGTGAAGATAAAAATATATCCTTTTCAAGCAGATGGGCCATTATGTACTGCATACATAAAAGATCTTCTATTATTTTCTTGTGCTTTATCTTTATACACTTTATTATGTTTTTTAAATGTCTAGACCTTTTCACCTCTAAGAAGAGAAGTGTTGAATTTAGCCCTATGGCCTTCATTATGAGGGGGGGAGAGATGCTAGTCATGCCCTGAGGAAGTCTCTGATTGAGACAAAACTAGTTTAATGAAGTGTCTGACATGCTCTCGATTCTGGCAATTGTTTGTCATGCACTTTAATTTAACCCCCAAGGTTATGGTGACACTTACAACTGATACGGCAACATCTTGTGGAAAGTTACAGTAGTGGCAGCCTGCACACCCCTTAATGCCTAAGACAGCACAGAGGGACCATAAAAACCCTGGATGCTGCAATCGAGAGTTTTTTCTCATTTAGCCCATGGGGCCCAACATGCTTTAGATGACAGCGCAATTATGATGGAATAACAACTGTGATATTAAATGGCGTTTAAACGCCGACTGAGATGATACTGACTGCAACTTGATAAATACTTTATATGCAAGTGAGGCTGAGTAAATGAATAATATCAGAGAGAAGAATATAAGTCTGGCTACATATCTGCTAGAATATATTATGTATGCAGAATTAGTACCATTGTTGTTGTATGCGCTGAGACAGTGCTGAGACGCTACACACTACTCAGAAAATGACACCTGTGATGGACTAATATAATCTTAAAATGTATTTCCACTTTTGCAGTTAAATTTGAGAACCCCCTCCATTCACACAACATAACAGAAAATTATTTTTAAAATAATATTTCTTACCTTTTAGATGTTTGGTTGCAGCAGGCAACATGGCCTGGTTTTTCTGAGCACCTTCACAGTGATCTGTCGTTACAGAAAGACTTAGGACTGAAATTTTACCATTGTGTTTCTCTCATTAACTTCATTAAAGGAGAACTATGAGGTAAGTGCTTTTCACTCACCTCATAGTTCTAGCCGACCGGTGACAATGAGACTGTCACAGGTCGGCTCAGTAGATCGGGAGGTGAGCGAACACATACCGGCGTTCGCTCACCTCTCGATCCTGTCACGGCTCTCTGCCGTGACAGGGGAGGGGCTGGATTCCCCCCTCCCCACTCGGATCCGCAAGCGCTGACTGGCGGAACGGACGGGGGAAGGGACGGGTACAGCTGGCTCTGCCTCTAGATAGGCAGAGCCAGCTGTCAGTCACGCAGCTGGGCGGATCCCGGCATAATTGTCGGGATCCGCTTCAGCTGCGGCGTCTCAGTATACCGCGAGTACAGCTCGCCGTATACTGAGCCTAGGGTGACGGGAGGACGCTAGTTTGTGTCCTCCCGTTACCCTAAGGAGAACTATGGGGAAAAGCCTTAACCCCATAGTTCTCCTTTAACATTTAAATTCAGAAGCCAGACTTTTATTTTAAAGTGTTTTAAAGGCGATTATTCACAATGGTGTTCATGGGGATGGCAACTGCCGATTTTAAACAAGTTTTTTAAAGAATGGGTTATATATATTATTAAATGGAAAAATAAATAAATCTATTGTAATAATTCAGTTAAGAGTTGGAGTATCAAGTACCCATTGCTTTTGTTCTTCTCTGTATGGTAAATGAATTGGGTTGGTGAATACCCACTTAAAAAGGTCAAATGAGTCTCTTTGGGAATGATTTAGCGTACAAAGAGAAGAAAATCAAACTTTTTTGTTTATTTTTGTACTACCGAGCCCATATTATTTATCACCATATGTAAAAATATGAAGACTTGTCCTTCTCAGGAAAAAGCTGGCAGCAGGATGTGCACCTTACGTTTTGTAATTGCGTCTTTATCCGGCACCAGGGAAAGAAGTCTTCTAGAGAGCTGTCACCTCGCTGCTTCCAGGGAACTTGGGGGGCCTTTCAAATGCTTTAAAAGCTTTTACCGCTCATCAGTTTAGTGTTATCAGTGATTGATGGCCCTAAAATGATTGCTCTCATTGCGACATTCGCGGTGATATGTAACATGTGTAGCGCAATTGTCGTTTTTGCGCGCTGGTGCACCGGACGCGTATTTACGTTTATATGTGCGTAAACGTGGGGGATTTAAACATTTTGGGGGTTTTTTTTACTTTTTTTATATGTGACTTTTATTTTTTTTACTTATTTTTATTTGTATATTTATTTTTTTTACACTTATTGTTATTGCTATTACATAGGGGGATAACAATCCCCCTATATAGTAGCACAGGTACACTGACAGGTCCTCTTTATGGAGACATTAGGGGTCTCTAGGACGGGGCGGCCAGCAGATACACACGATCGGCAGGCTATAGAGCAGCCGATCATGTATATGTTAAACAGCCGCTAACGGCTCTATGCATTGCACTGTTTTTTTCTGAAACGGGTTTTTTCTGCCCGTGCTGCTAATGCAGCAGTGCCGTCCGTCAGTGTTTTTTTTTAACGGACAGACGGCAACTGGTTAACTAATGACAAAAATGTATCTTATTTGTGTATCACTCGGCTGTAGATCCTCAAATCATCTCTGACTTGGTGCCGACACTGTCCTTACTTCTGGAGGGTGGCTTCTTTTGTTCCCCACGGGAACATGTTTCGTTTTCTAATTTGTACTGAGATTATAGTTAGGGATGCACAGATATATTGGCCGCCAAAACATATCAGCCTAAAATGGCACTTTTGCCAGCTTGGAGCAGTTGCTACTTTACAACACACACATGAATCATGGAGAACAAAAGTAGCCACCCTCCAGAAGGAAGGACAGCGTCAGCACCAGTTCAGAAATGATTTGAGGATCTAGAGCCGAGTGATACACAAATAAGATACATTTTTGTTATTAGTTAAAGTACTTGAATGTATTTTGATGGTTTAACTCCTGAGTTTAGTGTCACTTTAATTGTAGAGGTACAGACAATTTATACAATCATTAACTGATGAAGGGGATCTTTCTTGACTCCGAAATGTTGCACTTGTCTGTGACTTCTGCTATGCTTCAATAAAAGATATAGATGGGAATTTATGAAAACTGAAGCAAACAGAATCTGGAACAGTTGCCCATAGTAAGCAAAGCCTTCCTGAACAGACTGAAGAGAGAAGCTGATCGATTGCCATAGGCAACTGCTCTACCAATTATCTTCTTCTTTACAAAAGTCTTCAGGTGTCCCTGCAGCGCTGGTGCCGGTCTCTGATCCAGCACTGACTGCTGTGTCTTCTGTGTCCCATGGAGTCTGTGCGGGTGCACCCTGCCTGCATTAACTTACCCTGTGTCTCTCCTCTTCTCCTGGCCAAAGGTCTGTACCTCGCATGCGCCCGCCGCATGATCCTTTGCGGCCGCCCGAGAATCTTCAGATCTTTGGATGCGAGACACTGGTATGTTTTAACCCATTTGTAAACTTTTTAAAATGTTTTTACAGATATCTACTGCTTGCTAGCAGTAGATGTATGCAAAAAACGGGAGGGTCTAATTATCCTATGAATCTTAAAAATGCATTCAAGTACCTTAACTATTAACAAAAATGTGACTACTTTTTAACACACAGGGACCATAAGGAGGATCTCCAGAAGGAAGGACAGTGTCAGAGATGATTTGAGGATATGCAGCCGAGTGCTACACAAATAAGATACATTTTGTTAATAGTTAGGGTACTTGAATGCATTTTTTAGATTTAACTCCTGAGTTTAGTGTCACTGTAATTGTAGAGGTACAAACAAATTATGCAATGTTTGACTGATAAAGTGGATCTTGTGGGACTCCAGGAATGTATCACAACTGGAGCAGACAGAATCTGGAGCAGTTGCCCATAGTAACCTCAGCTTCTCTCATTCAATCTCAAAGTGTAACTGAACAAACTAAAGAGAGAAGCTGATTGATTGCCATATGCAACTTCTCCAGATTCTGTCTATGCTTCTCTTTTTCATTTTCAAAGCCTAATTGAACAAACTGAAAAGAGAACCTTATTGGTTGAAGCTGCTCCAGAATTTGCCTGCTCTAGTTTTGATAAACTCCCATCACAGTATTTAAAATACATCTATATGATATTGATGTGCTTCTCTATACCAGATCATTTTTCTGTTTGTTCCTTCTATCCTTGCATGAAATGATTTTCTAGCCTGAGTTGGATCTGTCATGGAGAAGAGTCATTTTCATTTCTCTGTGGGATCAGGCTGATATGGGGATAGATTGGAGTGATGCTTGTGGAAATCTGCTAACAGATGCGGGGGCTTTGTCATAATCAGTGGTCAGTAGCAGCAGCAGCAGCAGCAGCAGCAGCAGTAGCAGTAGCAGAAGGGCATTAATTCTGTGTATGGCTTGTATGGGAGAGAGATAGAGAGGGGCGGAGTGTGTAAATTACAAGCGTGTAATGAGCTTTCCATGCAAAGAGCCAACACTATATAAGTAGCTAGAAGGAAAACAGATCTCTATTTGCTGAAAGCAACACACAGTGAACAAGAAGTGTCCTGTCAAAGTCAGCGATCTCTGTGGACTGGAGTTCTCCGACAGATGCTGGATTTATGACAAGAGGGGCATGATTAACTGGATACCACCTTGCTGTCATCTTGGTACCCCAGGCTGCTGGTGGCTGTGCAGAAGATCGGGTCCCTGGCTGAGGGTTATGTGACTTTATTCTCCGGTGGATTCTCTTTTTTTTGATCAATTCTCCTTGTGAAGGATCTAGATCAGCGTTTGGCAAGCCGTGTACACACGGGGGAAGAGACGACCATGGCACACGGGCGCTTCTGGGGCTTGGCACTGCTCTTAGTCCTGTTGCAGCAGGTAATTGTGCCCATTGAAGGCTAATTCTCTGGGTTCCTGGTAGTCTGTAGCTTCTAAGTTGAGTGATGATGGGATCCTGAGCTCTGATCATTGGTTGGGGGGTCTTGTGTATTTCTCTCTAAGGTCTCTAGCTCCGGGGTCTTCCAGCTGGAACTTCATGAGTTTATAAATACCAATGGGATGCTGGAGAATGGGGAGTCGTGTTTGCCTAACTGCCGGATCTTCTTCAAGATATGCTTGAAACACTATCAGACCGTGGTGTCCCCGGGATCGTGCACTTTCGGCAGCGTTGTCACCCCAATGCTCGGGTCCAATTCGTTCATCATCGGGAACATAGAAGGCTTCTCCAACCCCATCAGGCTGCCTTTTAACTTCACATGGCCGGTAAGTGGCAAGGGCTTGTTGGTCTCTGAATGATCTCTGATCAGGAAGGATTATCATTTAGAAAATAACCTCACTCCACCATAAACTATTATAAATGACCCTTGTCCTGTCACTGAGCTGCTTCTTTTTGGGTGGTGATCATTCATGATTGAAATGTCAGCCAGATAAGTGTGTGCATTTTGTGTATAGAAGGCTTGAATAATCTCTGATCAGGAAGGAATATCATTTAGGAATAAAATAACTTCCCTCCACCATAAATGATTAGAAATTACCCTTAGTTTATCACTGAGCTGCTTCTTCTTTTTGGATGCTGATCATTTTATTATTGAAATGTCAGCCAGATAATTGTGTGCATGGTGTGTATAAGCACCCCAAAGACTTGAATAATCTCTGATCAGGAAGGATTATAATTTAGAAATAAAATAACCTCCATCCACCATAAACGATTAGAAATGACCCTTGGCTTGTCACTGAGCTGCTTCTTCTTTTTGCATGGTGATCATTCATGATTGAAATGTCAGCCCGATAATTGTGTGCATGTTGTGTATAAGAACCCCAAAGACTTGAATAACCTCTGATCAGGAAGGATTATATTTTAGAATTAAAATAACCTCCCTCCCCCATAAACTGATCATAAATGATGTAAGTAACCCTTTCCCAGCCACTAAACTGCTTCTTTTCGGTGGTGACCACATTCATTATTGAAATGTCAGCCAGATAATTGTGTGCATTTTGTGTATAAACACCCCAAAGACTTGAATGGTTAATTAAAGGCTTATTTACACATTCAGGACCATTCCATGAATTAATCACCGCCATGAGATATTGATGTACCATTGCATCCTGAGCAACCCTTGCTTGCCACGGTGACAGATGTTAACAACTTCAGATGGGTTCAAAGTCTGCTGGCACCAGACACAATAACACTGGCAATACCCACCCCCCATCCCCTCTGCTGAAAATAAACCAAAGAAGCTCGCTTTAATTGAGATCTAGGCAGTAATGCTATACCAATTAGATTAATTAAACAGCACAGGCGAGCATGGTCACCTCTTTTAAAGATTGCTTTTTCAGCTTGTTTCCATGTCAGATCATAATGCAGTTTAATGTTTCTTTCATGTCATCTTGTGACCCTGTTCTTTTTTTAAAAAGTGTTTTTTTGTTTTGTGTTTTATTTCAGAAAACCTTTTCCCTTATTATTGAAGCTGTCCACAAACCTTCAGGTAATTTTATACACACTAGGGGGCGCCATTGCTCCACCAATAACCTTCTGATGCATCCATACATTTTATAATTAAAAAAGAAAATCATAAGGTTGGGGAAATTGGGGCATTTCATTTATACACCGGCCCTCCAAACATGACCACGGCCTATGGGTTTGAGACGCTTATTGCGACTTAAACCTATTTTGTTAAAGATCCAAAACAGGCGCCCGCTTTGATATGTATCCTTTTTTTTTTCATGTCCCTTTCGTACCTAATCTCGAACACAATTGCGTTTCCTCCAGTTTATTTTTGGCGTGGGAAAGAAGTCCGCTCTTTGGTGAGAAAACCAGAAGTCTGCCAAATCGTCCTGACTGCCTTTTCCTGTATTTTACACCTTTTACAAATTCCGCCCTTTGGAAAAGAAATAATGGCTTTTGGATGTTTTGCTGACATAGAGGAAGAGAATATTTCAACAAAACAATTCTCACGTTGAAAAATTTTTTGAGGCTACAAACTGTGACTGCTCACCTTGGAGTCTCGGTTATTAATAATGGATTTTTTTTCTAATTTAAGGCCCCTAAAAAATAATATTAAACTAAAAAAAATGATCATGTTCCTGTGCCTGTGGATTCAGGTGCATGTTTCAAATTAAGTATCGATACACATTTTTTATTACTTTTTTTTTTACTTTATAACACCTATACTGGTTTTTTTTTAGATTCCTGTCATGCTACCCTTGGGTTTTCAGACACTTTAGCCACGCACAATGATTTACATATTCAAGTCCTTACGGTGGGACTTTTTAGCAAGTATTGCAAAATGCCATGTGAAAAAATTCCAAGTTAAAGCAAAGTGGGGAGACTTCCTCAATTGTTTACAATGCCACACTTTATTACTGTTTTCGGAAATTGTGTTTTTTTAATTTAATTTAATTTTTATATTTTTGTCCTATAGGTTTAAATAAAAAGGACGTATTGGTCAGCAAGTTTACGATCCAGAAACCCCTTAATGTTGGTGAAGAATGGTCTGCAGACGAGATGTCAGGAGTACACCAGACACAGCTCAGATATTCCTACAGAGTTGTCTGCAGTGAACATTACTATGGGGAAAGCTGTTCCAGGCTGTGCAAACCTAGGGATGATCGGTTTGGCCATTATGTCTGTGAATCAGATGGCAGCGTATCGTGCCTCAAGGGATGGAAAGGAGAATATTGCTCGAAACGTAAGTTGTATATTCCTTACTTGGAAAAGCTTTACATAGGACAAGGTTCTACGGCCCTTGTGCCCAACCTGCGGCCCTTTGGCGCTTTGAAGCCTGCCCCTCTTGCCCCACTATTCAGTAGTGGGAGCACTGATTTGTAAAGCAACCTAATCTCCAATAGTATATTGCAACAAGTCCCTAGTTTCTGGCTGTCTACTACAAGGTCCTACACCCCTTGTGCCCAACCTGCGGCCCGTTGGTGCTTTAAAATTTGCTCCCTGGCCCCACTATTCAGTAGTGGGAGCACTGATTTATAAAGCGACCTAATCTCCAAAAGTATATTGCAACAAGTCCCTAGTCTTTGGCTGTCTACTACAAGGTTCTACACCCTTGGTGCCCAACCTGTGGCCCTTTGGTGCTTTGAAGTGTGGTCCTCCCGCCCCACTATTTAGTAGTGGGAGCACTGATTTGTAAAGTGGCCTAATTTCTAACAGTATATTGTAATAAGTCCCTTGTATGTGGCTTTCTACTACAGGGTTCCACTTCCCCGATGCCCAAGCTGCGGCCCTTTAGTGCTTTGAAGTTTGCCCCTTGCGCCCCACTATTCAGTAGTTGGGAGCACTGATTTGTAAAGGGACCTAATGTCTAACAGTATATTGCAACAAGTCTAGTCTCTAGTCTTGGGGCTGTCTACTACAAGGTTCTACACCCCTGGTGCCCAACCTGTGGCCTTTTGATGCTTTGAAGTGTGGACCTCGGACCCCACTATTAAGTAGTGGGATCATTGATTTGTAAAGGGAGCTAATCTCTAACAGTATATTGTAACAAGTCCCTAGTATCTGGCTGTCTACTACAGGATGGCTCTATCAACTCCTGTAGAACCTCTCTGACCATTTCATCTAGTAAATCAACAACTCACGAGAGGGGATTTATCAAAACTGAAGCAGACAAAATCTGGAGCAGCTGTGCATGGAGACCAATCAGCTTCTCTCTTTCATTTTTCAAGCTTAACTCAACAAACTGAAAAGAGAAAATGATTGATTGCTCCAAATTCTGTCTCCTCCAGTTTTGATAAATTCCCCAATGGTCTTCTATACCAATACATTTAATAAATATTGTATGTGGCCCTTTGCAGATACCAGGGACCACAATTGAGGCCCTTCATGCCTTGTAAGTTGACAACCACTATTCAAAACATAATATCTAGACTGAGATCAGTTATTGTATCTATAAATTCAGCAAACTCTACCAGCATGTGATTCCTTTTAGTCCTTACAAATGTCAATTTGCATGTTTGCTGAACATAAATTGACTTATTCAGTAAGCGATGCAAAGAGGATTAGGGACATGCCACAAACTGACCCCAAATTTTAGATCTGTAAAGGATGACTTCTGATTGGTTCCTGAGGGTTACTATGCTTTGCACATTGCTCACTGCATAACTGAATAAACCCAAGTGTTTAATTACATAAGCATTCTCCCTGTAAATAGCCCATGGGATGTCAACACACTTGAGCGCTGTACACCGATGAATGCATTTAAAATTATGTAAATTGCTGGGTTTATTTTTAAAACAGATTTTAGCTATCAGTTGTTCAGGGCAGATGGAAAACATGATAAGTGTAATCTTATTGTATGAGAAATTGCTCATTATGATCAATTATGTTGCAATGTCAAAGTTCCAAGAGCTTCTTATATCATTCATGTGTTCTTTCGACTTGCAATAATGCGTGTTTCTGTGTATATTCTTTTATTTATGTGTTATGCACCATAATTGAGAAATCAGAATAGGGATATTTCCATTGTACGTATGATACATGCCTTTACCTTTCATTGCAATGGCCGTGCTTAAGACATGTCAAAGCACAAAAATGCTCCATGTCCTATTCTGAAAATATGTGAAAAAGCCACTTGAGCTGGTTACACTGCTCCGATTTCTGCTGAATCAACTAAAATTCGATGACTGCGTGGCCCCCCTCTGCACCCCTCCGTTCGGCTTTTGTCGGTGGAGTTGGGTCAAAAATTCTTGCCCGAATAGCAACTGCAACCAGTCAGCTGATCAGGGAGTTCTGACAGAATGCAGTAGCCCAAGGGAGGGAGGGGCTTTAGCATGGGTTGGGGAATCAGCATTTTTTCTCATTCAACCCATGGATGGCCAGCTTTAAAAATGAAGATGATTAATTTTATTTATAATGCGTTTAATGCAGGGAAATGCATGTACTTTATTGCATGAAAACACAGAAGTGTGGGCAGGCTCCAAACCCTGACTTTTGAAATAGTAGCTACTAATATATGTGTCATTCCATATCCGGACTTTAGATTGATATAGAATCATCGGTTACTTCTCATTTTGGCCCTATGAAACCTAATTCTCTACCAGTTCTCTTGCGGCAGTCCAATTTAACACACAATTTAGCATCCTTTATGCACAAGAACACCTGCCAACATGGAAAGGCTGTCATTAGTCCCACGACAGATCTTCACTCCGCGTCTCCTTCAGCTGTTCATTAAGAAAGAAAAAATGAAAGGGTAATGTGCTGGGTACAGAGAGCCGCAGAGTTCGTGTGATCACACATTCTGCCCAAGGCTCTCCCTTTGTGAAATAAAGAATTTGTCTAATTAATCTAATGAACTAGTAGTAACATATTTTTTTTTAAAAGGATGTTTTACTTATGCCTGCGTTCCTACTTTACTCTCCACGCTAAGCACCTCTGACAGGTACGCTGCTAAGATGACAGATTTGAGGTGGTAATTTATGAACAGTAAACCAGCAAAGGACACGGCCATTGTATGTGAGTCAATACAAGGGCAGCAGCTTATTTATTTATAGGTTGACGTGCTGAACAGACAGGCACGGGGTGCAGAATGACCACACCTCGTAATAGGATTCTAGGTTACAGTCCAGTATGTCTCCGGCACGGAATGCATTGAGGAATAGAGCCTGTACACATGTAGATTTAAAACCTATCACAGGGGAAATAAAATAAAAAAAGCGACCCCAGCACTGCAAAGGTTAACTGCTCCTTAAGCCCTCGTTCACACCTGAACGTTTTGTAGCGCGTTCTACGCTCGACAAAACGCTCAAACATCTAAATCCCATTGTATTCAATGGGTCTGGTTCACACCTTGGCGTATTTCAGCCCGTCCCTAACACGCTGCAAAACGGCCCACGCCTGAAAAAGTACATGTACTACTTTAGGCCATTTTTGTTGCGCGTTTCCATTGGTATACAGCCAAGTAGCCCTCGGAAACGCGCGTTTGTCGCGCGATTTTTTTTACCGCGAATCGCGGTTAAAAAAAACGTGTGACAGCCGCGCATATGCAATACGCCTAGGTGTGAACCAGGGCTTATGTCTGGGTAAAGGACTTATCCCCGCTCCCCCCGGAGCACCTATGCTCCAGAGTGTGGACTGTCCCTTAGCATCCTCACGTATAATGTTGGGCTATGTGCCCCACGGCCCCACATTGTACATGATGACCTCACCCAGGGTGGAAGAGGCTGCGGGCGCCGGTCTAAGTAGTCCTTTATAGATTACCCCTAGACTAAAATGGGCAGTTAACCCTTTAGGGTATCAGGGCAGGCCTTTTCAGGGAGAATTTATTATTAGGCTTTAAACACTCGGTAGAATTTAAGATATTTCATGTTAAGTTGTCATTTCGGTGAAATATATTTTCCTTCACACGACTATCATATTGGTTGTCAAGTTTGTCAGCATTGTAGTCGGCGCAGAGCAACTGCGCCCCAACGAAGGACAACCAATCCAATTCCACCTTCTAACGGTGCAGTAAATTGTCATTAGTAATTGGTTGCCATGGGTAACTGCTGTTACATCCTGTAGGTCACATTCATACTTTGGCACTGCTTTGTGTATTTTTACACATGATTTTTCACAAATTTTCAGGCTTGAGTGTTCTTGTTTTAGCCATAGATAAGCTTGTTGCTAGGAGGAGGAGGTGGTTGTTAGGCAAGCAATTGCGCTCAAAATGGACATTACACCCAGGGCCATCCTTACCTTATTGTCTGCCTGAGGTGGCTAGAAGAAGGGGGGAGCGGCTGCATTCCCCCCAATGAAATGGCTGCCCCATTATAGGGATGCCCCTGATTACTCCTGGTTTTCAGGTGCTCCAATTGAGGCCTCTTAGGGCCAAAAATGCGCAATCATGCCCCAAAGAAGCTTGTGTACTTTTTCTGAGTGACAGTACATCCCTCAGATAAGAATGTGCACAATAGAATAATATGGAAACCTGAGAGTTGACGCTATTCTGGAGACGCACTTCAAATCGCACAGGTGTGACTAGAGGCCTGATTGTAGCGGCATTGGCTACAATAAAATGGCTTCCTCTCACATATACCAAATGTAAACAAAATGGCGGACGGGAAGAAGACTATTTGTAAAGGCCACTGGTAGCTTCTTCCTCGTATAAAGTAGTTTTATATTTATTTTTACTTTTTCAAGATTAAAGGAAACCCCTGGAGACCTCAGATCTAAACCACAACAAACCTGTACATCGGGAGTTCTATCTCCATTAACACATAAACAGAAGCAGCGACACATGTGTGGTGATACACGTTTTTCATGTATCAATGTACGCTGCTTTAATATTATTATTATACAGGATTTATATAGTGCCAACAGTTTGCGCAGCGCTTAGGCCACTCCATTAATTTCAGTGGGCTGCCCTGCGCACCTAAATCGCACTAGAAGTGCATCAGCATTTTTCAAAGCACACTACACCAAAACACATGGTACTTTAACAACGCGTTCAGGTGCGATATTATGCGCGTTCAATGTCAAGATGCTCTGAGGTGTCATAAGACCCCAATCAGATCTGTGTGTTGGGGGAACGTACGCAACAAATACACATGTCATGTGGTGACGTTTGGTAGTTATAATTTTACCCCAACACATCATGAAATTGAATGTGCGTGAAATCTCACCAGAACGTTTTGCACGCATTTGTTTGGTGCGATTTGGGTGCGCAAGGAGCCTATTGAAATGAATGGGTGGCCTTAATGCAGC